TCCGCATGCTTTCTGCCATTAACCGCGCCGATCGTAACGGACTAGTGTAAGCGGAAGAACGGGCCCGGAAGAGGCTCTGTGTTTGGGGAGGAGATCCGGGACTACAGCGGCGACGAGTTGCGAAAGGACAAAGAGGAATGGGAAAAACTGAAGGCTACGATCAAAGGAGCCTTTCAAGACCGAGACCCCGTACTTCTGTGTGCCAGTGAATGGCAAGAAGGCAATCTACACTTTGCTTTCCCTCCAGCAGATGGTGACGGAGATCAAGGCCCTCGGATACCCGGTTGTGAGAGTGCAGTCAGATCACGCAGGAGAGTTCCGGTGAAAATTTGGTCAAGCGCTGGCGGGGTCAATATTGAGGATTACGTCGACATTTTCGGAGCCTGCGGAGGATGGAGTTGCTGCAGCTGGTGTTAGATATTTGAAGAGGAGAGCCCCGCCTTTGCACTGGCCTAATTACTGCAAGCCAAACAGCGGCAGCAGAGGTGCTGCTGGCAGCTTGGATTCCGGATCCTACGCCGGCTGCCTATGGAGCCAAGGAGTTTTGTGCATTTGCCGACCTGGCCTCTAAGCCACTGACGCGGTGAGCTGCGTGGACGTCAGTAGATCCACTTGGTTGGCTGGATTCTGACGAGGGGTTTTCGGTTTCTGCCGCACCCTCGCTTTCTGCGTGGTTGCTTGATGCCGTTGTTTTGCCTGTTTGCTGTCTTGTTTGTGGGGGGGTGGGTTGATGCGCCATTGTAGTTACTGTAGTTGTCTTGTAGTTTTTGCGTGTAGCTGACCAGTTCTTTTGACGAGTTGCGTCATAGCGGGCTCTTGGCCACGTTGAGCTGTTGCTCCCAGCAGTATGCCGCTGCGACTTGGTCGAGATCAAGTCGCTTGTTGCGTAACATGGCGAGCAGCTCGGTAACAAATATACCGCATAATTCGTGTACTTGCTGCCTGTGATGTGTAGGTCGTTGCCGTGGCAGCGTAACGGAGCCAGTAAGAAGACCATCCGTGATGCAAGAAGGCCGCAAGTGGTGCTGTGGCTATAGGCATTGGCGGGAAGCCTGATGGTGTGCCGGTGGACGAGGGGGCGTCGTAGTATGAAGTTGGGCTGGTTGTGTCTGTGGCGGTGGTGGTGGTGGTGGTGCCGAATGTTGGCGCACATTGTTGATGGCCGTACCCATCAGGTCCCTGGGTGGTGTCATGTTCTACCTGTTGTGTGGTGGCTGACCTTGCTGGCTAATTGTGGTGTTGTTTCTCGGGTCTACGTGGTAATTGTTAAATTCTGAGTCAGAGTCGAAATCACACGCGGTGTACAATGGAAATCTCAGCAACATGTGGAATGGAAAGCGTACGACATCTCGATGTATGGTACCGACATTGCCAAGTCGGCCGCTGCATGTTGATATTGTTGTTCCCAGACCAAAATGTGCTTGCTACGGGGCGGAGACGTCACCGCAGGGTAGCAGATGTAGTGGAAGATGCAGCCCACGAATCACCATGATACCAATAACTTAGTGCAACAGAATTTGGTTTCGCATTGACTTTATGCCACCAATCCAACACATGTAATAGCAAAGTGCCCGGCGCGCTATCCCCATCTTTCTGGGTTGCATGCGATGCCTTTTTGGCCCGCGATGAAGGCTTCGCGCCACGAATCTCTATAGTCAATCTTGTAATGTTGACAGAGAGACTTAATCACTCCGAAAATCAGCGCGCCCTGTTGTCCCTTGCACGGGCACGTGGCGCTGCCTGCCACAACATGGAGTGTGCTTTCACTGAGTTTGCCGGGTGTGGCTGATCCGTAGATGACTGTCGCTGGAATGCCAGCGCTGCCTGCTGAAAATGTGTGTTGGATGCTCGTAGGTCGGACCAGGTCCTCCAACAAAAAGCCCAAAGGGCCGAATGTGGATTGCATGTCTGCGCCGTGGCAGCGTTAGTTCCGTGTAGGTCCCGGTGGTGTGGATGCTGAATATCCAACGGATGCGTTCGTCACCCTTCCAAGGCACATACAAGATGGTGTGCAGTCCGTCTGAAATGTCCAAAACAGTGGCGTGGAGCTCTAGACATGCCTCGCGTGTGCCGGATGCACATATTGCATCTGCGAGCTCAGATATATCTTTGATCTTTATGCTTGTGTTGTCAGCAATGTCAAGGAGTGTCTGTGCCAGCTGGTTGCGCTCGACAATATCCACCGCGTGTGGTCTGACTTTGTCTTGTTGCCTGTGTGACGAGGTTCTGGGGCGGCCGCCGGTCTGTCCGTTTGTCCTTGGATAGTGACGTTCGTCGAGGCTGCTGCTCGTCCGAGGTGTTTCGTGTTGACTTGGTGGTGGGGATGGCCGGGGTGGGAATCGTCGTCTGCCCCCCGGTGGTAGGTGACCGTGCTCGATAGTTCCGCAAGGGTTATCACTCTCCTGTCTGAGAGATGTATAGCTGCCTAAGGTGATGGACTGTGGTGCAGGACTTGCAGTCCAGCTGGTGGATGGGCTGTGGCTGTGGAGTCTGATCTGTTGGTGTCGACGTCTTCTGCCAATGTTGTAGCTGTTTGCATGTCGGGCGTCGTCCGCTGCAGCTTAATAAATCAATTCGTCGGTGTGGTTGTGATGTGGCGGGCTTTGTCTCTGGTGTGGGGATATTGGATGCCAACATACGTGCAGTTGCCACCAAGTGCAGCCAAAAGGTCCGCTGCAATCTCAGCATTCATTTACGCAGCCAGATCCGAACAGCGTGCTACCACCACCACCACAAGTAGCACCACGCCCGGCATCAGCGTGATGCAACTGCAACAGCAACCCCAAATACAAGTTCCACGCCCATTTAAGCACATGCAATATCACAGCCACACCCAGCATCACAACCGGCCACGGTAGATGACAATGTCAGATTAATGCAGCATATGCTGTCAACCCAGTCAACACAATATACTCTACACCACAACCACAGCTGGTACCACAACACAATCCTCCACTGGACCACCACCGACCAACACTGCACCAGCCGGACAGCACCACAACCACCACAAGCAACGACCGCTGGACCACCACCAAGCAACATGACACCAGCACAGCCAGCACAATCGCTCACCCAAACAGCACCAGACCAAGCCGTAGTTACACCACAGCAACTACTTGCACAGACTGCGGTCGTCGGTTGCATCTACTGAGCAATCTGGTACCCAGAAAGAAGGGTGCATGTCAGCTCGCCGCCGCCACAGAATCAAACAAGAGAGCAGTGTCCCGTGTAAACAAGGCAGCTGGACCGGTGTTGGTCTGTTGGGGAGACATCGAAAGATGCCGAAGTATCTGGCTCCCGGAGGAGCGAAGCATTAGATGCAAATGATTGCACCTGCACCCATGTCAGACTCACATGCCCTCGCATTCCCCGAGAAAAGAAGCGTAATAATAAGGAACGGAGGTAACCCTGCGCACCTGCATTTGCACTAAATGCACCGTTACTTCACATGCCCTCATGTCAGGTGCTCATGACGCCATCCGCACATGCCCTTACCCGTATTAGTTCCGGATAGCCGGTATAGAACAGGTGGGTGGGAGTGTCAGCCCAGCAGGCCAAAGAATCAGCCTGGTGTTTGGCTCCTGGCCAGCCATCCCGCAGGGCCACCACGGAAAGCCGCTGATTATGAGTCTCAGAAGAGGGGAGATGCGGGGTTGTTGTTTCACACAAGCCGCGGCTGCGCCAAACTGTTCCAGAAACAACTGCGAGGATAGTCAATGTACAGGGACAATGCTAGATGCTGTTTGCGTTCCTCATCACTTTGCAGGCACAGGTGCTTGATCAAGCCACCCATTCCCTGTCTTGGAGTGCTTCGTTGTCACAGGTATCCAAGACAGGCCTGGCCCCGTGCAGTGCGCAACAGCGGACAAATTTTGGAGTGACCCTCTTTTCCCATGTGTGAAGGAAGTTCACACACACACACACCACACGACCTGTGCGTGTGTATGTGCATAAATGTGGGAGTATTCCTCTCATGTACCCACACGCAGGCCAGCAGTTTATGTGGGCACCGATCCGCGTATCTGTGCATTGATCTCTTTCACTGAAGCCTTAAAGTCCTTGAGCATCCACGCATGATCTGTCCGGCTGCGCTTCCTGTTTGCGGGTATCCCAGTGCGGTTGGGCCTTGCAGGTGTCCGCGGTGGTGATCATCCCCGGCTGGAACACGCCCTCGTACCGCCAGGTGGGAGGGCGCCGGCATGCGTGACAGCTCTTAGCCCCACCTGCAGGCACATCTCGCGGCATGACGAGCGTGGACATGGCGGGGAAAAAGTTTGGAAAATCCCATGCTATGCGAGGACGACCATCACCGGACATCCTTGCCAACTCCGGCCTTTACAATGCTTGTTACCAAGGGTTGGATTGATGGCAGAGCCGTCCGCAAACGAGCTGCCTTTTCAAGGCACGTCGTCTCAGGACATTTCCTGAGGCCTAGGCCGACATGAGGCGTTTGGGATCGTTTGGGGTCGTAGCACAATGGGCCAGAACCAAAACGATCATTGAAATCTTCTCCGAAGTCTCCGAGTTCTCCGGAGGAAGCAAACGTGTCTTCTCCGCCCGGATGCCATCCCGAAGCGGACGACGGTACAGCCACCCAAAGCAGGCCAGCAGGTGCCACCCAGCACGTGAAGCGGAAAGATGGCGAGGCGTGGCACTGATGGCACTCGCAGTGCAGCAGGCCCTTTTTGGGATAGGCGTTGAGGGCAGGCTTCGCAAGCATTCCATGTGTGAAGGCGGGAGTGGCCTGCACAGTCTATTCATTTGCCACACGCGCCCGAAACGTTGACTCTCTCACTGGCTCTCAAGCAGCATACACCATGACGGATGCAGTAGGATCTGTGAGAACATGACAGTGTCATCCCTTCATTTCAAGAGCAATTTGAGCCCTTCGACAGCCGTCCGGCAGAGTATCTAGAATGCATAGCGGGCGTGGCGGGGTGGAACCGGCTTGAACGTACTCCATGCATTCATCATCGTGGGCTGCTGCTGCGGCATGCTTGACAGCAGCAGGCTGGACATTGTGCAGCACATACTTAGACAAGGACAGCACTTTGGCGCCACTTCGGATTTTGTTCTACTTGTAAGCTGTGCTGTGCCGCTGTCCCGGCCAACTGCATCGAACCGCGAGGCAATTTCATATTTGCGTTGCTTTACCTCCCGGTCGTAGGGTCCCGTCATGCGCAGTTGAAGAGCCGAAGCAAACCGATCTCCCTGCGAGTTTCGCATGGTCTCACGTGAAAGTCTGACGTCTCGGCACGGCTCAGACACTTCCAGGCACCTTGGCTGTGGTGGCCTGGATCTGGCTGAGGTTCTGGGGCTTGCAGGTACTCGGTATTCGCTCCTAGCTTCTGTTTGTCGGAGGTCTCCGCATGCCAACCGGGCCGACATTGTGAAGGCTTTACGGGACCTACGTGAGGACTGCAAAACGGCTCCGAACCCATTTCTGGGCCGTTTGGTAACATGCTGTCGCATGCCGAAATAATGACTGAACCTCAGGTTTACGCCGAAGCGGCTGCAACCGTGCGCGAGACGGACGGCTCTGCCAGCCGATGCAATGCAGAGGAGGGTTCGGACCTTTCGGAAGTACCTTGGCTGCTTGTAATACAGTACTATGGCTGCCTGCAAGTTCGTCTAAACTGCAGAAGACGTTTTTGCACCACGCGCAGGTGCTGGATCAGCCTTTGCTTCTTCAGCACAGCCTCCGATCTGTCACCGAGCGGGCAGCAAAGGGTTTAGGAGGCCATGGTCGTGGCAATGAAACCTGCAACACAATTCAGATATGCCATACCAGGCAACTGGCTCGCCGACGACTTTGAAACTGCTGTACAGAGCTCCTCAGTTGGAGTTCTGCGGTGTGCGGTGCTGATGTGGGTTCCGGGTGGTCCCAGGCTATGCAGACGAGCAGCTTGTGAGGGAAGATCTGGCCGAGCTGCAGCGAGAGCACCTCAAGGCCCTTCGGGGAGATCTCGTGGACCGAGGCGACCAAGGCAGGGGGGTGCCAGGGGCACAAAAACCGACCAAAAGCAAGCGCGCTCAACAAAAACGGCGTGTGCTTTCTTTGGAGCTTCTCGAGGCGCGCACGGCGGTCCCTGGGAATCGGAGCGTCTGCTGCCGGTGCTCAGAGACCTTTGCGCCCATCGCCTGCGAGCGCTGGAGGTGCCGCCACAGACGCGGTTTTTCGGCATGCTGTGGCCGTGGCATGCTTCGGTTCTACAGCCAGAGCTAAACAGCCGTGCTTTGCTGTAGGCACCCTCCCCTCAATTTGACTGGCCGAAACCTTCAGTTCCAGGGCCGGTACTTATGAGTGCTCTGGCCAGAAGAAAATGGAGGACACCGGCTCTGTGCCACAGTTTGTGTTGGTTGCAGTCGTATCCCCACCGTTGTGAAATGCCTGCGACAGGGCTTTTACAGTACAGGCTCGGGTCGTTGTGCCCTGTAGCCAACGTCGTACGACACATTCTTGGCAGCATGAAGGGTTCTCGTCGAAGCAAGGGCGAGAGGAGACTCGGGCTGCATGGGAGCTGTCGCATGGGCATTTCACTTGCACATGATTGAAAAGGCAAGAAGGTCAAGGGAGCCGTATGATCACCACATGGCGGGTCGGTTGTGCTTGCAGGGGCTTCTCGGAGAGGCGCATGCCAGAGCTTGTCGCAGCCTCTGAGCGGCGCACAGGGCAGTTTCGCCGCTTTGGCCTTTCGTGTCTGAGGCCTTGGACCGAGGATGTTGGAGCGCTGTCAGCAAGCGGAGGATGATTTCTGGACTCCGAAGTCCTTCGCGGCACCTCCAGCTCCAGCGGTCTCCGGCGAAGAGTCCAGGCTGCGCCGCTCATTCGGCCCTGCTGTCGTGCAGCGCTCCTTGACAGACAATGGCTTCCGGGCTAGCTGTGACGAACTGGAGCTGGAGCTGGATGCCAGGCTGCGCACAGCAAAAGATGTGCTTCAGTGCACGAATACGACTGCAGCATGTGGCACGCCCTGACTTGTATAGGAAGCTGGACACAAAATTGATTTGATAACCAACACGCGGATGAGTCGCTGCATTGACCTTTGATGAAGCTGCTGCGTTCCGAATTGTTACTTCCGCCGCCCGCTCAGAGAGTCCTCTCAAGAGAGCCTCTCAATGAGCCAGCTGTCAATGCCCCCAGCCGCGCGCATGGGCCATGTGCCATGCTCCTCTGCCTTTTGGTCTTTGGATGTCTTTGGGCAAGGCGCTTCTTGCCCTTCTGGTTCCTTTTCTGCCTAGGCTGGGCCGCAAACCCAAAGGGGACGCAGCCTCCAAACCAAGCGCCTCCGCTTCCAAGCATTGCCTGCTCGCTTTGCTGCGCTTTGTGTTTTGCTTGCATGCCTCCTCTGAAGCCAGCTGTGCCGGCTTGCCAGGAAGAGCACCGCATCGACCAAGAAGCGCAAGTGGAGACTTGGACCAAAGAGACACTCTTCCTTTGCTAGGCCGATCTTTTCAATCCAAAACGTGAAAGGCAGGAGGAGCTCAGCGAGGAGAGCGATGGCGAGGTCGCGTCGCCCCATGCGCTGTTCGTAGCTTGTCGCGGGCCGTGCCCTTTCCCCCTGTGTATGGAACGACACTCTTGACAGTCTCCGAGCGCCCTGGAAGGCTGAGCAGATCACCGTGGAGGAGTTAGAGAAATGGAAAGAGACACTTGCGGAGGAGGACGCAATCGGGCTTGCGAAGCCCAGATTGCTGCTGAGTTGGCGAGGAGTGTACACTTTCCAGAAGAGGCACCTAGTATTCGTTCTGAGGAGAAGCGTGAGCAGATGGAGAGAGACGAGCAGGCGGGCTTGTACTGCTGCAAATGTCTCGTATCGGGAACCCGCAATTTTCAACAAGGCTTTTGAACGACTCTTCACTGCTGCCACCCCACCCGCACTTCGCAGATGACTCTTGAGGAAAGAATCGCAAGAGAGGAAGACAGAAGACGAAGGGAAGCCGAAGAGGCCAGGGGGCCAGAGGGCTGCTTGAGCAGTGTAAAAGACTCGGAATTGAGTACGTTGTCTATACGTTTTGTGAGACTGTGCTCAGCTGGGTTGTGTTCAGGTGCTATGTTCTTCCCTCTGCTCGTCGATTGTTCGCTTGGGCAGGGATAGGCTTTGATGAACCCTCGCATGAATGGTCATCCGTCTTGGACCGGCCTCCTGAAGTTGGGACCCTTCCCTTGCAAGTCCGACTCGCGGTGGCTTCCCGTCATTTGTGCTCGTCTTCTTGCTCTCCAGGGTTTCGTTGTAAGAGAAAGGATCTTGCTTCTCGGGCTCGGGTCATTCGTTTCCCCGGTCCGGCGAGGAGTTTAGAAGTCCTTGCCAGGACATCTGTGAAACCACGCTCCTGCAGAAAGCTTCTCCGCAGCCCCAATCGATCCTCCGGCCGTGTTCCTGTAGGAAACGCATCGGAAGCGTGAGGAGGAAGAGGCCAAAGCCCGGAAAGAGGCTGAAGAGGCGAGAACATCAGTTGGAACTTCACGAGCCCAAGCTGCTGATGGATCGTCCAGGCTAGAAAGGCAGCTGAAGAAGCTGAACAAGAAAGGCGGCGCCAGGAGGCCGTGGCGTGGATGCTGAGCTCTAGGATACCTCGGACGTTCGGCAGGAAGACCTCATACCTCCTGGTGCGCACCCTCCCGATGTTTTGGGTTTGATTCCTCCAGGCTCGATCAAGGGAGCTGTTTGCCTAGCGCGGTCGCATGGACGTCGGACCTGAGGTCTGAAGCCCGACAAGGCTCACTTGTACAAAACCTCGCAAGCTTCCGAGCATCTCTGTGAGTTAACTTTGCTTCTTGGATTGTCGCGATCTGGCAAGGTTCTGCAAACGCTGGGAGCAAGGCAACTGCAATTTCGGCTCCGGCCCCTTCTTTTGAGCTTGGCATCGCCTTCAACATCGCCTGGGCCAGCCTTTTTGTTCGCTTCAAGGCTCCGCATGCCACTTTGCACATGGCGAGCGCGAGCTAAGAGGACGGATGCCCTCTCAGTCAGATGCCAAGCACGGAAGGAGGGCGGAACGTAGCGACATGTAGCGACGTGGCGACGTGCAGCGTACTGACGTACTGTAGTGATCTTTTCAGGGGCCTCGGCCTCGGCCCTTCGGCGCCTCCCTCAATGGGACGAGGGGCGAGCCCGATTGTCGTGTGCCCTGTGTCCGCTGGCAGGCGCCTCCTAGGCCTGCTGGCGCTTTGGGGCCGGTGCCGGTGCAGGCCTTCGGCGCCAGACAAAAAGCCCAATGCCAGTTCACACGAAGTGACGGCGGCGCCTTGAGGTGTCGCCGCCGCGTCCTCCAGTGCCACCTCGGCCACCCGTCCCCGTGCCTTGATCCTAGCGGTCCTAGCGTGGTGAGCCTGCGATGTGTAGTCAGTGTAGTCGTGACGTAGTCGTGACGTAGCGACGTGCATACCTTGACGGCGAGGCCAATGGGCAAAGGAGACTGGAAGGGCGACCTGAACAAAGGCAAAGGCTTTTTTAGCGAGGGTAAGGGCGGAGCTTGGGGACACGACGATTGGAACGACTGGGGCTCTGCCTCTGCCTGGGGGTTTGGAGCTGGCGCATGCGGCTGCAGTGCTGGTCCCTGTGCCTGTGCCGGCTGCGGTGGTGGCTGTGGATGCGTCGGCTACGGTGGTGGAACTGGCTGCGGGGCCGGCTGTGCAGCCGGATGTTCGGGTTGCGGCATCTCGGAGGGAGACTGGGCTGCAGAGTGGACAGGAGGTGGCCAGGCAGAGTGGGTTGGCTGCGGCAGTGAGTGGGGATAATTCGCGCTGAACCGTGAAATGACACCCTCATGAACTCCCTGAAATTTCAGCCAACGCTGGACGAACCCTGCTCACTGCTTCAGCTCCTGCGCGACGAACGCCGAGCAGCTCGAAAATAAGTTTCTACCGAAGGCTCTGGCTCATACCGGGAGTACTGAAATCAGCCGTCCCGTGAGTGGCAATGAACCTTTGCGGCTCAAGTTTCTTCGGTTTCCGATAAGCTGCGCAGCTTTGCCTCGAGGTCCGCGTTTTGAGCCACGCAGACAGGACGGGAGCACGGGAGGACGGGAAGGGTCTGACGAGTTTCGACAGGTCGCAGCTCGTCCTGCCTGGGTGTGCTTGCAGGCCTGCTGAAGCGAACTGAACTCACGGCAAGTGCTAGGGCATTAGAGGGTATGTCATGGCGAAGCCATGCGAAGCCTTCCCAGGTTTGGCCGTGCTGGAGGGTCCTTCTATGGACACCGACCCTGACCCAAGCGAGGAGAGGAGACCTGGCGTGGAAAATCAAAGCCATGTCGGAGTGCCTGCCAGGAGTTCAGTCGTTGCGGATGTTGGCCAGTGCCACACGAGAGGCCTGCAAGAGCCAGTTGGCGTCGTTTGCAGAAGTCGCCACCAGGCCGGAGCAAATGGAGAGGCCTGGCGCGAGTGCCCCATCTTTCGCCGAGGGCCGGGTCCCCTCCTGTCAGGAATGCGGTGGTCACCGCAGTGTCAGACTCACCGCGCAGGGGCATTTCGGCTGAGGCGCTTTGCAGGGCGGCGGCTCCGGGTCGGTTCCGTGCATCTATGGAGCTGCCTCGAAGCCGGAGCGCGCTGAGCTCGAACTGGCGAAGTGCACCCACCCCAGTTTTCAGGGTCCGCCGCACGGGCGTCGTCCTCTCAAATTGAAGTCGAGGTGAGGTCATACAGAGCCCCAAGATTATGAAAGCAGATCGGGCCTCAGTTTGTCTACTGAATCTGCCGACGTACTTGCCTAGTTACCTATATCATCTATATCTAGCTACCTACTCTTTTTTTGCCTGCTTACTTAGCTACTTACTATCTACCCAGCTGTCTACTTATGTACTTACCTTAGGCACAGTGTTCTGATTGCAGCTATGTCAAGTTTCGGGGAGTGCTGACCTTGCGCTGACCTCTTTGGAGGGACAGCACCCCGACACTGTGACGGAAAGCAGTCAGAACTGATATAGGGAGTTCCTCCTTACCCACTTATGTTTTTATTATCTGCCTACATATCTGTTTATTCTACCTCCCTGTCTATTTACTTATCATTGTTTCTGTCACCTTCTATGGACGTATGACTTGCTGATCTACTGTGACTGTACATAGGCTGTAGGGCCATGTGCTGTGCGTTTTATGCATGATGTCTGAATTCGTTACCATGTTGGCTCAAGTGAGCACGGCAGTAACGTCGTAGGTCGCTGTAACACAGCCTGCAGCCTGTGGCGCCTGTGGTGCGCAGCATTGCCCGTAGGGACTGTTCGGCCTGTCATCGCCGAGGATCGTTCTGCGAGGCACGCAAAAAGGAGTGCCTACGATTGCTCTTAAACAACTCTCGGCACTTTGTGCCTTCACAGTTGGGGGCTGTTCTGGGAAACCGTACCTCAGGGCGTTTGCCTAATTGGCGCGGTAGTCCTGTGCCACTTGGCTTTTGACGTGGCCTGGGTAGATGCGCACCTGCGCCACCAGGCCGTGGTTCTTCCCACCGAACACACGTTCGCGCGCAACAGCGCAGCTTTTGAGGCTAGCTGCAAACAACGGCAGGCGCATGCTTTCATGGGCTTCGCATGCAATGCTATCCTCAAACGCCTCGGCCCGCGCAGGGTTTAGGGCACAGGGCACTTTTCATGCCCATTCAGCAGTCAGCATATGAGCATGAGCATGTTTCTAGTCTGACTGTACTCTGGCCTGTGCTCGCCATGGACCTTCCAGAGATGGCCGACCCTCAGTGGCGTTTGCGGCAGCTACGTGCGCTGCAGGCCTACACGAACGATGTTGTGGACCTTTCCCACGACATTGTTGACTTGTGCGAGGACGATGCAGTGACCTCAACAGCTTTTTCGTCTTCTACCAGCCCTGCTGCTGCTGAGACTCCCGTCTCCTGGAATCCGCATGCTTTGGCAAATGCAGCAGCGAACCGTGAGCGAACTCCTCGTGGTGGCACGAAATGGGGTTCCTGTCCTCGCTGTGGCTACTCGCTCCAGCCGCATTTCTTCCAGACGGGAGAGTGCTCCGTCCGGAATTCATTTAACCTTAGAGCCAAACCCTCACTCCCTGCTATCTCAACCTTTGAACCCGTAGTTTTACGCCCCGACCTTTCAACCCGTAGTTATAAAACCCTAGGCCCTCCATTTCTCATATCCAAACCCTCGATACCTTAAACATGCTACCGCTTCTAAACTCATAAGCCCTACACCCTAGTCTTTGGTTTGTTCTTTTTTGAAAGCACATGCCTCAGACATGCCAACCAAGTCAGACTCTTGTGCAGCCAATTCTGGCGTGGTCGGAAATGCTTCTACAGTACGGACCTACCGACAGCTCGCATCCACGAGTGCTCCGAGTACATCAAGAGATATGCGCAGGATGTTCGGTTTTCCTTGTTTCGCAACAAGTCCAGTTCCAAGTGACACTTGGTCACTTAGTCACTTTCCTGGCTTTCAAGCTGCAACATCTTTTCTTAAAGTTGTTGCTCAATGGGGATTCTCGCACACAGACAACATCTTTTGTAACAAGGTGTTCTGCGGAAGGGTCGCAGCAGGCACCTGATCTGCTGCTCTTGCGACGTCGTTCTTTTCGGGGCTCGTGCAAAGGCAGCATGCTCACACGTTGAGCTTTTGCTTTCTGTCGTCTGCACCCTGCGCCCCAGACCTTAAAACTTCACCCCTAACCCCTCAAGCCTTTTGCTTCCGAGATGTTCTTCTGTCAGTGGTGCATGCTCGAAACTTAGAGGTCCAGATTGCCGGCGATCATGGTGAAACTTCGGGCCCGAAAATTCGGAGCACCCGCAAAACCAAAACCTGGAGGCAAAATCAAGAAGGACAGGGGAGCTGCTAGGAAAGTGAATCAAGTGCATGTGTCTTTGGGTTTACATGCCAGCACTCAGTCGCACTCGACTTCGCCGCCTCTTCGGCTTTTGCGACAGCCTTGGACATACAAAGAGTTACTTCGCCTGTCCGACAAGAAGGCCAAGGCCGTCCTGGGTCAGCACGGCTGCTTGCCGCGCACAGTTCACGGCATTTGCTGCTGGGAGTGCGGAGGAGGGATGTCGACAGCTGCTAGCAGCTCCTCAGGCGGTGGAGAGGCTGGCGACATACTGCAATGTGCCGACTGCCGCCTGCCCGGCAGACATCGCAGACAGCTACGACACGCTTCCTTGGCTTGGTCACCTTTTTGGACTTCGCCAACCTCGTCGGATGCAAAGTCCCTCTGGATTCAATGGTCCAAATTCTGTATGACAAGGACCGGAGTTTAACCTCAGTAGACCTTCCCATACATATTGCCTGTGGCCCACCCTGCCCTGCCAGGACGAGGTCGTCGGACGCACTCAGCTCTTTCGTTGGTACGAGGTACTTCGTCTCGCTCTGGCTTATGCGGAGATGCAAGATCAGCAATCTGTGCTTTTGCGCGGCGAGCTCGTGGAGGTTCTCTCGCTTTTCTGCTTAGGGGTTTAGGGTTGCGAAATGTAGGTTCTGGGATTAGGGTTTTTAAGGCTTTGGGATTTAGGCTTAGGGTTTTCAGCTTCAGGGTTTTCGGGTTTGGGGTTTGGGAGTTTAGGGTATACGGGTTTAGGGTTTAGGGTTTAGGGTTTTGGGGGTAGTCCTTTGGCCTTTGACGGTGACTCGACACATGCAGCCGCGTCTTGCTCCTTCGTAGTTCCGAGACCGTACCCTTACTTCACGGCCATGGCTTTTCCCGCAGATCCTTGGTGCGTGCTGGGTCTTGCCATGGAAGTACATGCATCGGCAACTCGCTGCTTTTCCACAAGTACACTGCAAGACTGGTCAGAACACAAGGTGCCGGCTTTGCTCCTGGTTACACAGGCTGTTTTCGGGTTCCTGAGGCACTTGGGGCTGGACCAGGAGGACTCGGACCTGGAGTTCTTGGCTCTAGTTGCGGACGTCCTAGCTACTTTGCAGATGTGTGACACCGAAACACCGGCTGTTTTCACTTCCGCGGAAAAGCCGGCTGTGTGCAGGTACAGCATGCGGGTCGCTTTCAGGGACAAGGTCGTTCTCGTGAATGGCGTGCAAAAGCCTGCCAGGTCCAGTGCATGCTCATGGAGACCTTCCTGCATGTGCGGGCCAACGAAGGAGTCTACTTTGCCAGCACAGGTCTTCGCAAGCTCTTCCAAGGATGGCTTACCATCTTGGACAACACCTCCCTCATGCTCTGGGGGCTGTTGGACGAACCATGTTCGTCAACTGCAGGTGCGCGCTGACCTTCTCTGCTGGCGTGTGCAAAGGCTCTTCTTGTCTGCGAGGCTCACTCCCCTGAGCACCAGCATGAACTCGTGAACCTAAACCTTGAACCCCACACTCCCAACACCCCCGCCTGGTCCCTAAACCTCGCAGGCTGATGGTGCCCAGCATGGTGTGACGCGTTCCTCTGCTGCTCAATACAATGAAGGCCGGGATGGGAAACGACACTGTGGCTCGGGCAAGAAAATTCGCGCAAAGAAGACGCAAATCCAGCAAGGAAGAATGCTGGTCGTGGCAGGTCGTTTCAGCAAGAAAGTGCTTTTCAAGCCTCTTCGAAGCAAACGACAGAAGAGAGGAGCTCCTGGCGGCACTGAAAGCTGCAGGGAAGTACGGCCCCAGCTGAACAAGCATCTGGTCAAGGACGAAGTTGTGGCATGCTCCGACGCAGGTGCTGGCCTGAGCGCTGCTTGGAAACAGTTGAACATCCCAGCGGCTACCGCTCGTCATCACCTGGACGAATTTTCTCCTGTCAAACGTTTCCGGAAAAGTGAGCTCTCTGCGAAGCAACAGCTTGCTCTTTCCAAG